CAAGCCTAAGAGGGGGATACTGTCAAGTCCATGCCGCGGGCCTCCATTCCGCCGCTCGGTACTCCGAAGATCTGCTCCTATTGTAATCTCTTCCTATTGTTCTTTCTCGCTACACATATCCTTTCGTACTAGTCTCTCATTATTGTCTTTTACTCTTTCGTTCTAGTCTCTCCTTATTGTCTTTTACTCTACCCTGCAGGTACTACTCGTATAGCTCCTAGTAGTTAGTCTAGCGCTCCGCACCGATGCGCCGTTCCGTAGATATAAATACTGCCTGTACGCTACTGTAGTTCCTCAGTTTAATTATCAACTTAGATCGACTTAGATTCCCTCCTTTACTCTGTGCTCCTCTAAGTCTTCAGGCTCACTGCCTTGAAGTACTCTCTACCCTACCTTAGGACTTATACATCCTCTGGTTCGCTCCTCGTCACCGGCGATACCGCCGCTCCGACCTGGCTGCTACTTAGCTCCTCTCTCTCTACTCTCGCTCTCCGGGGACTAACGGCGTAACGGCGGTGTTGTTAATAACTTCACTACTGTCCCATTCGTCTTCCGCACTTAGGCACCTTGTAGCTTTGGCACGGTTACACGGTGTACATGATCTTAACAGGATGACCATTCACGTATGACATACCAAGGGTATCCTTATTGGACCTTACACTGGCAGGAGTTTGGAAGAACTTACTCAAGTGACCATGAACCAAGGATTGACTCGAAATGACTTTCTAGAACTCAGGAATTATCAAATACTCCTTCTAGAACAAGATCATGCATTAACCTAAAAGACTGCGATTTAGTCTAATAGACCAATCAAGTTGCATGGTTGAGGAAAATGACTAGAAGAACGATCGAAAGACTGCGAGGCTCCGAAGGCATATCAAATGAATGTCAAAGAGTCCTGATGTAGAAAATATTGAAGAATACAATTAAATGAATACTATGCGTAACTCCCTTGATAGAGTATAGGCACAATGGGTGTCTATTGAAAGAGGGAAGCAATTAGTTTAATCCAGATGAATCAGATTGATAGGATTAGAATCGAGGAGAGCTGATTTGCCTCCGGACGAGGTGACAAACGATCGAAGTAAGTGTTGAACAGCAATGACAGTTGAACACCATTCGAGTTATCCTCCAAAAACAATTAAATTAAATGAATATCGAAGTACCTACCTATGTTTGGAGGTATACTAGAATCTTGGAACCAATATGGGCCAAATAAGGACATGAAGATTCAAATTAAATGGTATCTGACCGAGTGTAGAAGTTTCCTGGCGGTTCCGAACGTTTATTGTATTAAATTAATTGTACTGTGCGACTCTATATTCTGTATGTATAAATAGCGATCCGATGTATCTGGAATACAAGTGATTTTGGAACGACGTTGCAGTGCTAATCCATAAAAAGGAAAGACACACTCCCGCCAGACTGAAACCTCTTCGCTAGCAGCCATTCGGGCCCGGCACTTGTGAGTATAGGAACATTGTGTTCTGCTCCTTGTGACTGCGAGAAGTATATCCAGTTGTTGGATATTCTTCGAACTTAGGATCAGTCGTTGGTCTTAAGGGCAAATCACACTGTGTAGTTGTGCCAGCACATAGTTCTAGCCCTCCGTAGGGGTCTGTGTGTTTCGGTTTTAATTTACTTTGATTCAAACCCCCAATTCTTGATATACCCAAATCAATACAACCAAAAGCACAAATCGTGCTGAATCTACCTTAATCAAAGGAATATATCGAATCCTTAGAACGATTCAAATTGATTGATCAAAGCTTCTTACTTAGCTTTCAAAGCTTTGCGGAACCTTTGCCAACGCTACCCCTTGCTATTAAATAAATTTGATAGCAGTGAACTTGCATATTGTGTATTAGATTGGTTGGTTGGAGTGCCCATTAGATTCCTTCCTTTCTCTTTCACACAAAAACGAGGCAAGCTCGTTACCGTCTCGACACCTTTACTTGTACGATACATCATCCCATCACTGTCAAACCCCCATTGATTACTGATCCATCGATTACTGATCCACCTGACCCATCTTCTCTTTATACTGGCTTCCGCCACCTTCCTTGCCCCTGAACTATACAGTATTACATTGTTGTTTCTCGCAGACCGGATTATGTATATATAGCCAACCCTCCACAGCCTGGTCCCTTATCTTGACCTCTCTGTCATTATCTGGGACCAGGTATGTGCTTACTTACTACTACCTATGACTACGATACTCAATATATCTCTGTCATTATCTGGGACCAGTTTGCCTCCGCTCCGCTTAGTCGCTCCGCCTCACTGACCTGCTTAGTCGCTCCACCTCACTGCCTTGCTTAGTCACTCCGCTTTCCTGCTCCGCTAGTCATTCCGCCTCTGCCGCTTCGTGACATAATGTCCATTGAGCTAACAAAGGAATGTACCTTGTGTTGCATGGATCTGGCAGTTTTTGAAAGAGGGGCAAGGAGGTTGGAGAATACCGTATTATTGTCCCGTAGTTTCTGTTTGATACTATACAGCATCTGACAACTGGTTATGTCGTCTTTGTCTAGTGCCATGGAGTATATGAGGCAGACCACGAACAGATGGCATTCAGTATTGATGGGAACAATATGAAAGGCGAGGAGGCGTGAGAGGGCAAAGGTTTGCAGACGAAGAAGGGTGTCTCGAATGGGGGGTGAGTCGATGCGGATGAATGCTATGTTCAGCCCAATGTATTGGAGTCTGAGGTTAGGCTGTGGTTCCAAGTTGCTGGTGGCAGCTGTACTGCAGCCTCTTCCTTGACCGCCTCTGATTGGTCCTCCTCTGCTGGATTTGCCTTCCTTTGTAACATTGGGTGGCGTGTCGTAGAAGGGGGCAATGGTCTGGGAGAACTTGCAGCCTATCTGGGTGAGGAAGGCTTCCACGTCGGATACTGGTGATTTGATCTCTTGGTGCATAGTGTTCCCTCCGTTGAAGAAGAAATCGCCACCCAACGGTCTTTTCCCACAAGTATCATTTTCACTTTCCCATCCAATAGACCCTGCATGAGGTCAGAGGGGTAGAAGATGGCGTGTCGGAAGCGTCCATCATTCAGGAAGGTCATGTTGAACATCTCACGGATTCCCTTCTCTGTGGGTCCTGAGAATTCCAGACGCCCATGTAGGTTTCCTATGGTTTCTGCCAGGGTTCCATCCTCGTCTTCATTGAATGAGAATAAGTCGAGTTTTGGAGGGGGCTTGTTATGAGGGTATAGGGCTTCGCACCTCTGACGCATGACAGTGGGTGAGGTGCTGGATACTGGAGATCGGGGTCCCTGTGCGTGCATGGATCAGTTTGAGGGGTCCATGCTCGGGTTGTAATCACACCTGACGGGAACGCTTTTCCCGGCCAAGAAATATATAGGGAAATGAGAAGAGCAATTGCCGATTTCCCCTCAGTGAATAAAATTCTTTCCCATAAGGAAATAATTAGGTTTTCTGGACGGGAAATGAGTAAAATATTAACTGTATTTCCCAATTTAGAAATATAGTATTTTCCATCAGATGAAGATTATCTTTTGCATTAGATAAAGATTACCTATTATAAAAGATAAAGATAATCTTTCCCGCTAGATAATTTTTAGATTGCGTGCTAGGGAAATAGAAAATTTCCCGGTTCGCGAAACCAAATAGCTTAGCGCCTCTTAGTGCCCACCCAGACATATGAGTGGCACTCACTCTAGTTGACACAGCTCGACACCCATTGGCACTATCTACAGGTTGCAGGGTTAATGAATCAATAGGTTGGTTTTTGCTGAGTTTTTGGTAGAGGTGGCATGCTTAGCCACTCATGTCTTTAGATGGGCGCTAAGAGGCGCTAAGCTATTTGGTTTCGCGAACCGGGAAATTTTCCATTTCCCTAGCGCGCAATCTAAAAATTATCTAGTGGGAAAGATTATCTTTATCTTTCGTAATAGGTAATCTTTATCTAATGCGAAAGATAATCTTTATCAAAGGCGAAAGATAATCTTCATCTGATGGAAAATACTATATTTCTAAATTGGGAAATACAGTTAATATTTTACTCATTTCCCGTCCGGAAAACCTAATCATTTCCTTATGGTAAAGAATTTTATTCACTGAGGGGAAATTGGCAATTGCTCTTCTCATTTCCCTACTAGTGTACCCCTTCAGGGCCCTACACCTTGCTTGGTTCAGTGCATAGCTTACAAATTAATGTAACTGTATAGCTAAAACGAAAACGGCCCGCATTATATCGCAAAATTGACTCTAGTGTGCAGCAGTATCCTCTCTGTTGAAAAGTATCTAAAAGTGATGTTGGTACATCAGTACCAAAGTATCGCAACCAAACTTCCAATCATGTAAAGTAAAAGCAACATCAATGGTCACCCCATTCAGAGTCTGTGGTAGCAGAGCCTCAGGCAATGGCGCACCAGTATGATCAATGGCGTTGAAGTTGGCAACTGCGAGGTTCTGCGATGTATCAACCCATTGGGGGTTGGTATGTTCTTTCACAGGAATCAAATCAGTGAGACATCCTGCAAACAGTTAGTGCAAACTCTATAGGTAAAGTTGGCCACTGACCATCACATCCTTCTCCGTAAGCACGAGCCTGGGTAGAGACAGTCAGCGTGGATTGAATGTCATTGTCTGCCACATACACAAAAGTGGCAGGGAGTACCAATCTTCATGTGCGTGTCCACAACGCCACCGCCTTCATTGAACCACAGGTAACATGTAGGTTCTCCCTCAGTCCGCGTAAGTATCTTCTGAAGATGCTTGATCTTCATTAGTGCAGGTTCCCAACAATGCATGAGCAATAGTGGTAATGTTGAATGGTGATTCGGACGCAATATCCAACTCCATCGATAACGCAGTGTCAGATCTCAGTTTCAGTAGGACCTAAGCAAGCATTGTGCGACCGACAAAGATCGTTGTAATAATTGGTGAGAAGGTGTGCAGATAAGATAATGTGACGTGAGCCGAAATGATAATCTGAAAAAGCGTGGTAAAATCTTCACGCGCGCTAATCGGGCGGACTGGAGAAGGACCTAAGCAAGCAAGGTCATATATTTCTCGGCCGGGAAAAGCGTTCCCGTCAGGTGTGAATGTGTAGTGGTCTTGTTTGTTGAAACTTGAAGTTTTGTATCAAAGGGCCCTAGAACACTGTAGTACATATTTATGTTCTACTTCCCTCCCCCCACCGGTCATTTAAATGTACATTATTCTTGTTATATATAATATATACTCAATAAAGATATGTAGTCAAAGCCTCACAGCGATGTAAAAATGCTGAACTGCCTAGGCAACAACGCCAAGGTGCACGTCGGGGAACCCATTGGCCTTGATACGCTCAAGGAGCCACCAGAATGGCGTGGCATAAGTCAAGTCGGAACCCTTTGTATGGCCAGCACCACCAGTAATCATGCCACCAATACGGCCACGCAAGTCAGCAATTATCGAACCTGAATCACCAGGCTCCGAAAAAACTCCAACCTTATAACCATAGTTCATGATCCCCCACTCCATGGAGGTTTGGTGGATCGACATATCTAGGAAGTACGTACGGACGATAGAAAAAGGGCCGTTTGCGCGACCATAAGTGGTGCCAGTGGCATTACCATTCTTGACAACTACCAAGCATGGTTCGTGATTCACGTCCCACATGTCAGGGGTGTGCATCAAGCTATCAGGGATGATACTTTCGAGGGGAAGCAAGCGTTCTAAAGGATCATGTGCAAACTGCCAATTGTCGGAAAAACACTGGATATAGAATTCATCAGGTCCTCCCTTTGGTCCTAGGTATCAGTAATATTAGTATGTAGCCTTAGTCAAATACTCAAGAACGGAACGCACCGAGATCTATTTGGTTGCCCTGGAAGCCATCACCGAGCTTGGTTCGGTCGATGCTGAATATTCCCCAATCCTCCGTGAAGCGCTGTTCACCGACACCGAGGCGGAGGGCTGGAGAGCAGATGATGTGGCCAAGAATGCGATTGTTGAATCTTTTCCAATTCTTGTTAACCTGCTCATACAACGCTCCGAGTGCCTCCATCGCCTCCAGGGAACTCTCGATTTTTGACCGATATTTATCGTTTTCATTGGCAGGATCCTTCTGCCACTCCTCCCAGAGCTCGACCCAGGTGCTATGGTCTGCAATTCTGACTTTGATCGACTGAACGAGGTTGGCATAAGATCTCTTCCCGAACAAAAGGACGTCTTGAAGAAGTCCACCGGGGTGGCAAACATAATCAACATTGGCCTCCTTACGTCCAATGAGGACGTGACGGCAAGACAGGCCCAGGAGGTCATTGCTACCGTCACCCTTGGCAAGATAAAGAGCCATAGTCCCTTCTGTGTTGGGCCTGGCCCTTGTAGAGATATGAAGGCCAAGGGAAGGAGTAAGGGGACTAACGACGTCAACGACTGGGTCCCGAAACCGAACAGGTTTAAGAAGTTGAGGACCACTCTTAGACATGTAGAATGATTCGCGGAAGTCAATGTCGACATCGGTGATTTGGTAGACCTTGAGGAGATCCAGAAGTATCTGAGCCACATCGTGGGCAGCAGTGGCAGTGACAGACCCCGGGAAAACACCAACCCAGATAGTGACGGGACTGAGGACTGGGTACCCATATTCATCGTTACCTAAAGGTTCAGGTGCCCTGAAGCGAACAACATCAATAGTCGTGAAACGAATCTAAAAAATCCCAGTAATGAGCAAGCCTGCGACACGATAAAGATAAAGAGCTTATCAACTCCCCTCGTGCGCATCCATAATTTTGACAATCTCCCAACCCAGGTCGTCGTTCCACACCTTCGTAATCGGATGATTGAAAACTGGGACTAGCTCCTTCGAACGGTCCGGAGGCTCAAGTAAGCAGGATTGTATCCACTTCTTGCCTGTACGATAGAGTAATCTTGGTGCAGAATGGAGCCCTCCATAGTAAAACTGAGCCTCAGTCTCAGAGACAGCGTGCGGATCACTTGTAACGACGACGTCCGGGAAAAGAATTTGGTCCGGATCGTAGTTGACCCTAACAGCCTCGTGAAGGGTCCGAACGCAGTCCTCGATGAATTCAGGAGAAAGCATTGAACAAAAGGAGGGACTTAATCAGCTTTTACAGAAATTCTGCCAGTTGAAATACAAACAACATTGTTTGGTCGTGCTTGACAGTCCAATGAGCGCATCACTCAGGGGCCCGGCGACGCCCCGAAACAGAGCTTGAAGGCGGCAGCCCAGTTATTGCCTTTAAATTGCGGATTATCATGGCTATCATTGCTGCTATTATGGTGGTCAGATTAGTTGAGCAGACCCGAGATATGGTAAGAGAATGCGCACTGCCAGCAACAATTATTTAATGAATGTAACGTTGTCCGTCCAAAACTCTGCATCACTTTACAGCATGTGCGGAGGATGTATGTACATGGATACATATGTTCAAGATCTATATCAAGCTGTATATGTACGGTGAAATACTTATGTTATAAAGGAAGCTGCCAGGTCACGAACGAAATTGGGTGCAGCTGCATTGCAAGCCGCATATACCCAGTGCGTATTCAAAAGCCCAATGCAGCACCAAACAGGGCACCCCCAATCAACACGAGAACGGAAGGAATCGAACCCCCATACGTCGCAATAGCATTGTTTGTTCCGAGAGTAGAGGCAGTCGCTGATGCACTGGTACTGGGAACCACATCGCTCGAGGTGATGGTAACGACAAGGCCAGAAGACGACGAAGAGGTTGAAGAGGTAGCAGAAGACGGCGGCAGGGTGGAAGTGACGAAGAAGGTCGCAGTACTAGTGCTCTCGGTTGTATCGGTGCTGGTGCTAGTAGTGGAGGACGAGACAGAAGAAAGTGTCGTTGTAGATGTTGACGTTGACTCGCTTTGAGAGGTGGATGATTCTGACAAGAGAGATGATGATGATGAGGTGGTGGTGGTAGTTAGGGAGGTAATGGACATAGAAGCGCCGGAATCAGTGGAAGAGCTCAAAGTAGATGTCAAGGACGTTTCTGCCGACGTTGACGTGATGAGAGAGGTAGAGTCAGTTACTTGAGTGCTTGTTCTGTCAAAAGTGAAGAGCAACTTTAGAGCAAGTTGATTTGAGACCTGACCGGAACGTACGTCGATGACTCCGACACACTGCTCGAACTGACACTCGTGGTATCCTGAGCAAAAGCTGCCGAAATAGCAGAGAGTACAAGTACAAGCTGTAATTTGGAAAGCACCATTGTGGATTTCCCTTGATCGTTGCCTGGAATGAAGGTGAAGAATTATGTGGGAGACGGTTGAGACTCAGGGTATTTTTTTTCGTGGAGTAACCCCAAATTAGGGAGTTTCAAAGAAAAAAACTTAGCGCCCGTGCTCCCGTACCATTCTCGAAACCTACCTGCCCAAGTCCCAGTCCCAAGCGCCTAGCCTAGCTGGTCATATTAATGTAGTATGACTGAAAGGTGAGTACTGAAATGGTGACCTGTGGCGACCTTCAAGTGATGCTAATTAATGACCATTTGCTACTATCCGTTTATACAACAAGTTCCAACCACTCGGTTCAGCTCAGTTCACGTCGAAAAGTGAATTTGCTAAAATGAGCGCATACAGGTCAAATGAATTTATCTGAATTTATAGATCAGTCTTCGGATGAATGAACATATCTACCAGAACAATTCCTTACATGGAGGCTGTAACGAGTGGATGACAACCGTTGTCTTTCCTTGTTCTTGTTATATTTCACATATAAAGGATGTGGTCTTCTTCCGTGAGCCAACACAACATGTCCCAAAGCTCGTCTTCTCATCACTCTTCTCTAAAGTCAATGGTCACCTCGATAATTGAGGGATCTGCAGAGGGGGACATGAAAACTATTCCTTGCTCAGCGTATCCTGATATGAATCTCGAATCTCCTCGAACACAATCACTTGCAGTGCTCAACTATGCTCGTCTAGCCTTTAAAAAACACCACGAGCAAAAGCATCGGATCCTACCAGATAGTTTAGGATCTCATGTCGTTCAATCCATTGTTAGTTTCAACATGTTCAAGGTGATTTTGAATTGCCTACTAGCTCAGTCTGCGCTGTATGTTTCTTCTCACCCTTATTGTATATTTTAGCAAATTGCAGACGTAGCATGGATTCCACAAGATGAACAATTAAATAAGTTGCTGAGGACTGCGCCACGGTTCAGTAGATATCTTCGTCTGGTAGAGCCGCCGAAGCGTATGAGACTAGAAGTAGGAACGGAAGGAATAAAGGACTCGTTCAGGTATGATCTTACTGTCACGTTGCGAAAGCTACTTATGCGACGTACGATTCGTCTGCCATGATTCCAGTAAACTTCTCGCTGGTGAAGGCATGTTGGCGGTGATTGTGTCGTTAGAATCAGACCCCCAACACAAGTTCATCTGCTTCAAGATCCCTCTTCAATCCCATCGTTCAATTGGGACCTTTGGCTTCAATCATCATCGTCATCTGCATAACAGGTCGAAGCCCGACCGCGTCTTTGTCATTTTCAATTTCGCATCGCAAGGCCATCATCCCCAGTGGTTAATAACTACCAACGAAGAAACTTTGCTTAATAGAAATTTTGCTCTATTCAGATTTTGGTGTAGAGGTAATGATGGGGGTGCTGACAATGGGTGGACTACGATTCATACACTGGGTCCAGCAACTGCCAGCGAGTCTCATCAAGGGGATATTGGAGACCGGGTTAGGGATAGAAGACCGGATGGAGCTGCACAGTAAGATCGTCCGTTTTCCGAGCCTTTACGGCATACTAATAATTTGAAAGTATCGATGCATACTCAGATGAAGAAACTTCTAAAGCTGATGATGATGATATTCCGACTCCAGAACCGAGCCATCCTTCCGAAAACTCCTTCCGCTCTATGACAGGCTCTAAGAATCTATCGGCAAATTCCCCTCCTCGTCTATTTCGAACTTCCAATGATCCGACTACTTCAACAGCGCCAACGCATCTATGGGTGGAACCAAGATCCCAGAACTCTTCTGCCTCTTACAATGTTCCGCAAAAGATTCAAAATACCAACAGGCCTTCGGTGCTTCACTCAGAGAATTTCGGGAGACGTCGATATCATTCGTCCACATACACTTCCAGAACAACGATGGCTGCGCCTCAATTCGTACCTCCTGTACGGCCTTCGCCTGAAATGTACCATTGGACGTATAGGGCACAGCCAATGACTTACGGCCCCTACATTTACACTGCCCCGAGATATCCTACCGGTCCCTTTATGTACGGTCAGCCATATCGCAGTTAACAAGCAGTTGGTATCTATTCAGGATCACTTCGTCGCTAGCGGACAGCAGAAGTATAGCGTCGATTACAATGCAGTTTAATGTTTACATTACTATAGAATTACAAGAATACATTGCATGTATAGTCCGTTTAAAAAATGAGCATTTAGTTAGAAAATTTGGAAGGAACATCTTTCCTGTAAAGTCGGGGTGAAAATAAGTAGCTTGAATACATAAAGCAAAAGAAGCTTACCCGGTGATTTTTTCAAATCCCTCTCTGGCAGCATCGGTGATCTTTTCGTTGGTGTTTCGGTTCAAGTTGACACCCTCTTTCTTCTCGATCGCGTCAAGACCTGTAACGGAAATGAGCCCATCGTCACACAACCTTGAGATAGAAATTAACGCGCACCCTTGTCACCATAGTCTTCGCTCTGTTGCTGTCCAGTAGCATTCTGCTGCTGGGATGCATTGGCGTTCATCTCGTTTCCAGAACCGGTGTTGAAATCGTCGACAGAAGACATAGTTTTGAGATTCGAATTCTTTCGAGGTATTTGTTGAAGATATATCAAGGGTATGTTTGTAGACTCAAGGAATCGTTGAAAGGTTTATATAACATCTGATATGAGAAATGACGACGATAGTGCGTAGGTGAGGTGCTCAAGTACGTCACTTCATTCCACCAAGTGGGGGTGCGGTGATAATGACGTCAAACCCAGCGCCTAATGGACTTATTTAGGCGACTAGGTAGAAGTTTGAAATTATACCAATCATAACCACAATGTTCCCTCTTTACTAACCATTAATTTGAATCGTGAGGATGTCAAGCCTGTTCAGAGAAATCCTCAACATCACAGTGAGAGCAGGCTGCCGGGATTAACAAAGATTATCAATCGCAAGTCGGAGATTATCGACTGCACTGGGATCCGATTTTTACCTCGGAAGATTCAATGTTGTAATTTGTATATACAAATGTAACGACAGTACCAAATAGGTATAGTGTAAAGTCGTAATTTACTACAAGATCTCGACTTCACATTCGGTATCTTCTACTAATGGGCGAGAGACAGGTTCATTGTCGAAATCGACGAGTGAGCCAGATATTGATAGGAAAATATAGGAACAACTTACCCTGGTGTCCAATGTTGAAATTACTAGAATGTAACGCTGGAGCTCTCGTCCTCCTTGCCATCTGACGCATAATCCTTTGCAGTGTCAATTCTGATCGATATATTTTGCGGCCGCTGGGTTTTGGAATTTGTGGGGAGTACAGCGTGGTCGCGAGAAGCCTGCGAAAGAGACACCATCATGTGTTCAGCGTCATTTGACCCATTCCGAATCTGATTTCTCGCATTCAGAGTGGCCAGGAGAGAGTTCGAATACACTAGAATAGATAGATAACAAGAAAAATAAAGGACGGATAGCTTGAATTTTAGTATTGTCTTCAGCGCCACATCAGGAGGAAATCAGACTCACGTCTTCCAATGCAGAAGTAGAAGGGGGCATATAACAAGGTGTTTGGTGACGCGATGAGCTAATAGAATGTGTATCGCCGATGTTAGCGGCAAGACTGAGCGATAGGTGACAAAACGCACAGATAACAAAGATGCAATAGCACAGACACTATCGATACACCCGCGGATGAACTGTTGTTTGAGCGGTCCAAAATACACAAAGAAGAATATCAGCTAACCTGGTTGCCCTAAATCGGATTGCGTGAGTAAGAGAGAAATTTCGATCCTCAGCATGCTCCACTCACAATCCAGTATTCACCCCGAACAGAATCTACGAGCAAAATTTTGGGGGTATTCAGTTCGTGCGTGGATCAGAGTTTGTGGAGAACATACGAGCTTGTTGATCATGGTATCAGAGCTTGAAAGGCCACATATGATCAGACCTGCTTCGGATACAGGAAGGACCACCGGCACTTACTGCTTGAACCCCGTTCGGGACTGTGCGAGCAAAAAACACAAGCTAGCAGCTATGATTACATCTGGAATTGGGCGAAACTCCGGTTACATAGACATTCTACCGAACATCCTCAAGAACTAACCTGCTGCTGTGGATAGTGCGTTGATGGAAATTGTCAAATCCTGAAAAAAAAATTGTAGGGATTGCACTCCTACAGAAATTCCGAAAAGCTCACAGAAATGCCTAACAATTGTTGGAATGTTGAAAGCTGCAGTCTGGAAAATAAATGAACGTGTAGTATAGACACAACAAGGACAGGTCTAGATCGCTCACGATATAATCACCCATGCTGTATGTTCAGCGATCAGTCGTACATTGATGAAAAATTCATCATGGACCCACCAGTGCCACATGCTACATTTTTCACCGATTAACGCCGATACAAAATTTTTTAGGTGCAAAAACTTACCAGTCTGGGCCAGTACTATCAACATGATAACAATTGCAAGGACATGATTCTTTTTACTGACTGAGGGAAGGAGTATATTAGTAGCGGTCATCAATCTGTAGAGAAAATGCTTAGGTCTCACGTCGCCATACTCGCACTGTGTAGAAGCTGATGATAAAATCAGATAATCTACCACAATCCATCTCTGGTAGAAATCGCTCACGTTTGCACAAGAGCTCCGGTGAATCCCTAGGTTATTTCATGTTGAAAAGATGAAGAACAGATCCTGTATCCAATACTCACGGTTGGGACAGCTTCGGCCTGTTCCAGAACAAAATCATGATTTTGGGAATCCTTCATGTAGAGATCTACCTACCAAAACAGACCTGTGTAAGGTTTAGATTGCCGTTCGTATTTGTGGAACAATTTGTCTAGTCAGGACGCACCAGATCATGAAATCTAGCTGTCCATTGTCACTGAACAATGACAATAAGTAATGTTGTTCGCGGACATAAGGAAAGACGAACTAATACCGCGATACCAGATAGAAGTAGACTGACAAGTTCGTTAGTGCATGAAATGAAAAAAAGGAAGGGGGCCTTAGTAGACTTGCTAGTATGAGAGATGAAGCAGAGGTGTACAGTGTCGAAAAGGACGGTGATTGCGACCTAATATGAAAGGATCAACCACAAACCGCAAGTTGAATGCTTGCAATCTCTCACTAGACTCTTTAAGTACCACGCGTCGTTGCGGTAACCTGTGCGGAAACTTTTCGTTCAATTCTTCAGGTGAAATTTGATTTTTAACACGCACGATTGAAGTAGAATAATGTTTGAACGAGGGATATTCCGTAGAGCACCGCGCTGACTATAATGCCTACGAGCATGGCACCCATCGTGTTGTCGAGAGGCTGGTGCTCCCCGGGAGACTGTATAGTGGCGGGCATAAGTACAGGCAGGACTGGGGAAAGGACAGTGTCGAACAAATGGTCCAAGCAAATTTTAGTTCGAATTATGGATGATATATACCCATAATATTTTTGAGCCCTGATTACGACCTTGTCAAGATATAGATTCAGAGACCGACAATAAAACCTGTTTCTGATTAGATGTTGGTCGGTGATTTCGTGCACAGGGAAAGGCTTCGCGCATTATCGACATTTCGAATCTCTTCGAATTCGAGTCTGTATGTCAAAAAAAAGTTGGAGCGTTCACATGAATGACATACCGTCATTGCCTGTTATTGCCAACACAATCTCACGAGGACTGTACTGTACGATATCACCCTTGGAACGAAAATGGAGAGTGCCAAATCAGTCTACATGCAGGACCTGTTCCAAACTATGGAAGGAACCTTGGGCATGAGCTCCAAACAAAAGAAGTAGACATGAATACATCAAAAGGAAAGGAAGCCTTTACCCTGGTTGGAAGAATGAGATGGGCCCTGTGGGCGCGCGGGACGTATGCTATAAAATTGCACGACGCAGTCGGTCTCCGCCTTTCATGTCCGAGCCATATTGGGTCTGAGAATCATACGAAATTAGGAATACGAAACAGTATGACCGCGTGAGTATGTCTCCCTCCATGAGAATATACACTTTTCTGAGGGATGGAGATTGCAAGGAGTTCAACTTCTGGTTGTTACGTAATCGCAACACTGTCTTTTGACGCGACAGTCACATTGATCCCAACCCACGTACAGAGACGTACAGTCCACCCTCGCGACGACTCTATTTTCCAACTAATTACCGTTGCTCTTCTTGCTTAATCAAACAGAATCAGACCGAAATGAAAGAAGTCGAAGCCCTTTAGAAACCGAAGGGAACACAACATATAGGTTACACTTGGGTTACTGAAAATGTTGTAATCCTTATGGAATCTTTCTGGCAATTTATTAGAAGCCCTGAATCCGTATCCGTGTACGGATTGTTACATGGCTATGTCGAAGGATCATGGGAACTACAAAGCACCATTCGTGTTTGTTTTCCTTGTTTACTTCGCTGTAATTTCTGAACACTTTTGCTCATAGGGTTTAATTTGGCGGACTTTGATTTGGCGTGAGTAGCGCGGACCAATTTGGTTCGAAGTGCCGCTACTATCTCCGTACTCTGATATGTATACACACCCCGAGGCCAGGGATTTCAGTAATCAGTCAAATCATTGATTTATCACAAGTCTTGATTACGGAGTTGCCCCGGAGTTTTTGTCCAGTCTCAGATCTCGAGGTGAGATACATACAACTCAATTTGGACTGTCAATTCTCCCAGGTAAGTTTACTATTTTGTATACATATGTGGGTCAATCATCAAGCAACTCCTCGTTCACTCCTTTCTACTACGACCTGAACACTATCATGTCATTTTTCTCTAGTGCTCGCCCTCCGCTACCTCCTGGTCCAAAGGGTCTTCCTCTCATTGGTGTAAGATCACTCAAGTTTTGGAATTTAGCTGCAAGGTTGACATCTCACATAGAACGTTTTGGACATGCCCAGCGAGAGCGAATGGCTCACATTCGCAGAGTGGGGTCGACAGTATGGTATATCCCTTCGAAAGCTCAAAGTGTCCCACTCAAAATCCTGACACTCGATTTTGTAGGCGGTTTATGCTCTGTTACACTGATGGGTCAACCTATGATAATTGTTAACTCTGGCGAAATAATGGAGCAACTGGACAAGCGAGGATCTCTACATTCTGACCGCCCGCGCCTTCAAATGGCCGGCGAGCTTGTCGGGTACTCCAAGACGCTCGTCCTTGTTCCTTATGGTCAACGACTTCGCAACTATCGTAGACACGTTTCGAGAATGATAGGGAGCCCTGGGACACTGTCTCAATTTCACCCGATGATTGAGGCAGAAACACATATGTTCTTGAAACGGACCGCTGCTAATCCAGACTCGGATTTACTCAGTCACAATCTTAGAAAGTGCGTTATCAGATTAATTTTTTTCTGTCTATTTATGTTTTTTAGGACGTCTGGGTCAATCATCCTGAAGCTTTCTTATGGAATCGAAGTCCAGGAAGAGAACGACCCATTTGTTTCGCTTATTGAACGGGCGAACGATAATTTTAGTCTTGCGACCAAACCAGGTCGGTGAGGCGATTATGGTGATTATCGACGGTAGTAACTGATAGCTACAGGTGCCTTTTTGGTGGATGTGTTTCCCTCTTTGCGACACATCCCTCCTGGATTTCCGGGTGCAAAATTCCACCAACTGGCGGCTAAATGGGCTAAAGACTTCAATGACATGATTGAGGTTCCCTTCAATTTCACCAAAGAGCTAATGGTCCGTACTTCTCAAAGGATAATGGTCACTTCCTCTAATTCACGCCATTTCAGAGTAAAGGAATTGCTCCTGTTTCCTTTGTTAGTGCATCTCTTGAACATGAAGACAAGCTGTCGGAGAACGAGATTTTCGAGATCAAACATACTGCTGCTTCCATTTATGCTGGTACGCGTCCAGTTGTTTGTATAATATTTCCTGACCGGAAGGACCTCAATTAGCGGGGGCAGACACCACAGTTAGCGATCAATATTCAGTATTCCTTGCCATGGTGGTAAGCGTCATTCCTTTATCGCATGTGTGAGTTTTTTAGTGTAATTGCTTACTACAGCGCCATCCTGGTATGTTTTGTCCACGCTCTGGCGGAAGTGGCTCCTCTATATTACTTCTTCAGAGGTTTTACACAAGGCCCAAGCAGAGATTGACTCTGTCGTCGGCAATGAAAGGCTACCTACCTTTAGCGACCGTGAACACTTACCATATTTGAACGCAGTTTTGACCGAATCCTTGCGGTGGAACAGCGTAGCTCCTACAGGTTGGAGATTCTTCATTTTGACTGCCATAAATTTTTAACTGAGTCCGTGGTTCCTCCAGGTGTTCCCCACAGATCCATGGAGGATGATATCATCGGCGGTTATTTTATTCCCAAAGGGTCCATTATCATAACCAATCTCTGGTACAATATTGTTTGTTCTTCCTTCTCATTCTTCATTCTGACTTTCACTGCAGGAACATGTTAAATGATCCCGAAGTTTATCCAGATCCTTTCAAGTTCGATCCGGAGCGACATATTTCGCTTCCCGGAAAGCCTGCGCAGAAAGACCCTCGTCATGCTTGCTTTGGATTTGGCCGCCGCGTATGTGTTGGCATGCACCTTGCTGAAGCCTCTTTGTGGATATACATCGCAATGATTCTGGCGGTCTTTGATATCACCCCCGCATTGGATGAGCAAGGCAATCCAATTATACCTGAGCACGAGAACACAACGGGGACCATCAGGTGTGTCACTCGGTGATATTCTTGGTCGACCGAGCTTACTATCTGTTTGCTAAAACAGTCACCCGAAACCTTTCAAGTGCATCGTCAAACCTCGTTCGGAGAAAGCCTTGTCTCTTATTACAGCTGATATCGCCCGATGAAGCCATCTATCTTTTACCTTGATTGTCAATCTGGTTTCGTATTCATAGATTCGATTAATGGACATTTCATACGTATAATATAGCAACCAGCATGGTTTCCTTTTTTCTCAAATCATATCAGAAAAGTAGTGCGCCGTGTTTGGTTTTAAACAACGCCTGACTTCGCCACAATTATTGCAGGCACGCGCCTCAGCTTCGAAGAACTCTCTGAGCATGTCTTCCTTGAGCTGCCCATCATCAAGCACCTCATCTAGGTCTGGATGATAGTCTCCGCTATAAGCATGATAATGTTTGGGGGCTATGTTTTAGAGCTTATCAGATGTTGGTTATAGATATGATTCACTTGTAACGTACTTCTGCTGCAATAACGCCAACCAAAATTTGAGCCTTTACAGTCGCAAGTGCCTGTGTGATAAGTTTTGACAGGTTTGAAACTTGTACACGATGAAATTTGATTTTTCAGTATTCACCTCTACTATTGTGGCACGAACAACTTTCGCAAGTAAGGTAGCCACAGTCGGGACACTCCTGATCGACGGGATCGTCTTCCGTGAACTTTAAATCGCATCCTAGTCGTTTGTAGTAGATGAGAGCGATATCATGGTTGATAGATAACTCAACATTATACCAGTGCAATGAGTGGTGCGAGGCTTGGACTTGGGTATCTTGGCCAATTTATCGTTCATTTCTTGAACAATTTTTTGCATCGCACATTCTTTTTTGTGACGACGCCAATCTTTTTTTTGACATTTGTCACTGCTGCAAAGCGACAAAACCAGGTCAAGAATAAGCTTGACACTGACAGACACATCGGACTCACCAATAGGTCGCATAGTGACATTCCGAGCAACGAAGTTTAGCGTCAAAGTTCAAACAACTTTCCAAGTGGCAATACATGCTAGCGGAGGTGGTCAACGTTGATCAACGTTGAACCTCATTTGAACGTGGCCCGGTTGGACGTACATAATAAGCGCCTATTTCTCCTTTCCCTCACCACATCAAGTTGATCAACATTCCAGATCCTGTGTTTTCCTGTGATCGATGCGATTTCCCGAAGCTTTGCTCGTATCACTAAGATAAACTCGTGCTACGGTTGCCCATACCCGTCGCAATCGCTGACATCGAAGACCGGAATGTGGAACTTGGAGAGGCTGGATCTTTTAGGACAACATAGAACGATGCATTTTCTTCATTTTAGCATCTCAATCCTCGATGCTGGATGGAAATTAGTCACTGGCTGCGCTATACGACTTGTACGCATTTCAACCGAATTCGAATAACTTGACGGCAAAGTAGGATCTCAAGCTCAAAGGTGGTAGGATTTTGAGTTAGAGACACGAGTGGCGAATCAATTATGAATGATATGTATGTTGTTGGATTACTGTCCAAAGATAATCAACTGATTTTTCCGCTCATCAAGTCAAGCATCAGGAGAACTCCAACGTTCAGTGTTTTTATTGGACAATATCGACGTTTCGGTGCTGCCTGACAATATCAATATTATCTAGTCCTACTTCCCTTTCGATATCCCTCGTTAGGGGTTGGAAAAGCAGCCTCTGGTGTGTACAACGGCTCCGACTCTCTACTTATTCAATTCCTTTAGGAATGATGAATGATTGGCCACTTTAGTAGACTGGCACACCCAGGAAAATGAAAGGCCCTGTTGAGGTTATCGTGTCTAGGTCCGGTTATTGTGTCTAGCTCTGGTTATCGTGTCTGGGTCTGTCAATCCTACAGTCTCGCCCACTCAACATTGCGGGCTGAAATGAGATGCGCATCTACTTTTCCGCGCGAACCGAGCATGCCCAAAGTTTAGATAAGCATTTGTAAGTATTTGTAAGCTTCGACTGTAAAATTCATCCGAGTAATTATTTATTGTTGATAAATAAATGAGCCATGCTTCGATCGGGCAAAGTTCACTATACTTAGCATTTCACTCAGCCAAAAAAAAATTGAAGTCCTAGATACATTTCCTTTTGATCATACACTCATCATGAATTACAGGTGAACAAGCCCATTTTTCGAGGGCCAAAACCGAGTAAAAAAAATACAGTGCAAGCTAGAGCAGGTAAAATGACCCATTTGAGATTTGAACTTAGCTTTCATACAAATGCAATTAGTTCACATGACTCCAAGCTCATTAAACCACTACACAACACAGGTTATAGTGGGCATGCTCATGAGAGCTCATTAGCAACACGTCGAAAACTTTTTGAAAACGAAAAATGAACAGTCATGCTTTGAAAAAGCACGGTTTGATCACGCTACTGACATTGTGACCACAACTCAAGAATGTTCCGCCCTCCGATAAGGCCCTCTACCCTTTGTAACAAAGTTGCCCAGCCTCCGGTTGCGCTATAACGATCCATCCGTGTAGGCCATCAAAGCCTGTCATATTCGTGTACCCTCTCCTCAAAAAATTATGTCGTACGAGCAATTACTAGAAGTTGTACAGTACATATATAGACAAACCAACGCTAATGCTGATCACGTTCTCGTCACACTTTTCGACTTTATCGCAGGATCTTTTCGACGTGGAGCAACTTTTCGACGTGCTGCTAATAAGCTCTATGGGGCTATCTGTCTTGTATCAACATCCACTATACATGATTTTTGTATCCGTTGGTCATTATGTACACCATATGTTATTCTAACTTTTTAGGCATGCTTTCAACAGCAGTATTGATCTCAACCGCCGGATATGATAACAATGGATTTATGGAACTGCCGCTAACTGCCGGGGGCAACGCGCGCTAGCGCGCGCGGATAAGAGGTTAGCGATTACTAATATTAGTAATGCTTATCTAAACTTTGGGCAGGCTCGTTTTTCCTTTTCCGCCGCCGCCGGATGAATTTGTAGAATCAAGATAAATTGGCTTCTACGCTTGGTATCGTATGTAGGTTTTCTTTGCAATAGTCAGCTTCAAGTCGCTTGCTGATGGGCGGCGTTTCTGTAATCTGGCCTTATCGGAATTTTTGTTACACTCAGCCTCCCGTATACCACTATCTTGAGGGCTACTTCTTTGAGTATTAATTATATAGTAGTATCTGGATCAGAATCACATATACCAACACCCATTGCTGTGGCGACAATTTTGGTTTTGAAGGCTTATTCCGAGTCCTTCAATCACAGTTAGACACCATCCCCAAGTTTAAGTCCACAGTCTCCCTGTGGAATCATTATACAGACGGATTGGGGTATATATATATTGGGAGTCATTGGCTAATGCGACTTCGAGGACTCGTAGTACTTGTAACCAGCGTAGGACGACTGAGATGGATCGTTCAATCGCGCCAACGACTTGCATTCCACCTCAAGATCATTAACGTCTATGCATTGTATGTATCCATGTGCATGAAGCTGTCGAACGGCTTCCTTGAACCACACGCGACACCGGAATACTGGCTCAGCGGCTGCATCAACGACAGGTACAGCGAGAGGAATACTTTTGAACAGAGACTGGAGATCATTGACACTACTGATACTCTTGAGTTCACCTGGTTCATATCCGTGAATAACCTTGTGTGAGTTGGTTTCAGTAAATTTCAATGTATACTCACCGATTTTTATAGATGCAGATACGGTGGCATCACTGAGCAATGCGTGCTTGGGCACGGGATTATCCTCGAAAAACCAATGACCACCAGTCTCCTTTGCGTGAAATTTGAGAGCCTCTTTAGGTGTAATGGGAACACAGATTGCCCAATGGAACGTGTCAGGCGGATGAGAGCGTGCAAAAAGAACCACAAGAAGGTCGCCTACATGAAGAGATTTGTCCGACATGTTGTGTAAAGGTCAACCCGCAGCGCCAGTACATAGCACTGCATGCAATGACTAATAAGTTTGCGCAGCTTAGCGAAAACTTATAAGATACTGTCGAAAAATGAAAGCCCGATAAGATTGCGGACTTATGAAAGAACTTATTGAAGATAAATGTGACAACCCTGTCACATAAGTTTTACATAAGAAACAATAACAAATGTGGAACTTATGGGATTTAAATGGAATTGTCGGAAACTATAAGTATTCAATAAGGTCACATACTTTTAGAACAATAGCACAAGACTTATAGGAAAAATTATCTGATGAAGTACTAGATAAGTATTTGATAGGTAGGGTTTTATATCTGAAACTTGCAGGATACTGATGTAGTACAGAAGAGGAACTTATGGAATACATATTGGGAACTTATGTGACAGGGTAACAAATAAGGCTCTCAAAATAAAATGATTTAGTTAAAAACTTATAGAATAATTATATGACATGAGGAGAGTGATGAAAGCATCACATGTTGGAGAATGTCCAAAGAGGTGTGAAGCATGCTCAAGTGTGTCGAAGCTCAGTTTGGATGTGTTGAAGCATTGCGGAAGGGTGCGAAGCATGCTCAAGTGTGTCGGAGCTTAGTTTGAATGTGTTGAAGCATGTCAGAAGGATGCAAAGCATGCTCAAGTTTGTCAAAGCTTAGGACTTGAGCATGAAGCATGCTCAAATGTGTCAAAGCTTAGTTTGGATGTTTCAAAGCATGTCAGATGTGTTGAAGCATGTCGGAGGGGTGCGAAGCATGCTCAAGTGTGTCGAAGCTCAGTCTGGATGTGTTGAAGGATGTCGGAGGGGTGTGAAGCATGCTCAAGTGTGTCGAAGCTCAGTTTGGATGTGTTGAAGCATTGCGGAAGGGTGCGAAGCATGCTCAAGTGTGTCGGAGCTTAGTTTGAATGTGTTGAAGCATGTCAGAAGGATGCAAAGCATGCTCAAGTTTGTCAAAGCTTAGGACTTGAGCATGAAGCATGCTCAAATGTGTCAAAGCTTAGTTTGGATGTTTCAAAGCATGTCAGATGTGTTGAAGCATGTCGGAGGGGTGTGAAGCATGCTCAAGTGTGTCGAAGCTCAGTCTGGATGTGTTGAAGCATGTCGGAAGGGTGCAAAGCATGCTCAAGTGTGTCGAAGCTCAGTCTAGATGTGTTGAAGCATGTCGGAGGGGTGTGAAGCATGCTTAAGTGTGTCGAAGCTCAGTCTGGATGTGTTGAAGCATTACGGAGGGGTGTGAAGCATGCTCAAGTGTGTCGAAGCTTAGTTTGGATGTGTTGAAGGATGTCGGAGGGGTGTGAAGCATGCTCAAGTGTGTCGAAGCTCAGTCTGGATGTGTTGAAGCATGTCGGAAGGGTGCGAAGCATACTCAAGTGTGTCGAAGCTTAGTTTGGATGTGTTGAAGGATGTCGGAGGGGTGTGAAGCATACTCAAGTGTGTCGAAGCTTAGTTTGGATGTGTTGAAGGATGTCGGAGGGGTGTGAAGCATGCTCAAGTGTGTCGAAGCTCAGTCTGGATGTGTTGAAGGATGTCGGAGGGGTGTGAAGCATGCTCAAGTGTGTCGAAGCTTAGTTTGGATGTGTTGAAGGATGTCGGAGGGGTGTGAAGCATGCTCAAGTGTGTCGAAGCTTAGTTTGGATGTGTTGAAGGATGTCGGAGGGGTGTGAAGCATGCTCAAGTGTGTCGAAGCTCAGTTTGGATGTGTTGAAGCATTGCGGAAGGGTGCGAAGCATGCTCAAGTGTGTCGGAGCTTAGTTTGAATGTGTTGAAGCATGTCAGAAGGATGCAAAGCATGCTCAAGTTTGTCAAAGCTTAGGACTTGAGCATGAAGCATGCTCAAATGTGTCAAAGCTTAGTTTGGATGTTTCAAAGCATGTCAGATGTGTTGAAGCATGTCGGAGGGGTGCGAAGCATGCTCAAGTGTGTCGAAGCTCAGTCTGGATGTGTTGAAGGATGTCGGAGGGGTGTGAAGCATGCTCAAGTGTGTCGAAGCTTAGATTGGATGTGTTGAAGGATGTCGGAGGGGTGTGAAGCATGCTCAAGTGTGTCGAAGCTCAGTCTGGATGTGTTGAAGCATGTCGGAAGGGTGCAAAGCATGCTCAAGTGTGTCGAAGCTCAGTCTAGATGTGTTGAAGCATGTCGGAGGGGTGTGAAGCATGCTTAAGTGTGTCGAAGCTCAGTCTGGATGTGTTGAAGCTTAGTTGGAATGTATTGAAGTATGTTGGAAGGGTGCGAAGCATGCTCAAGTGTGTCGAAGCTTAGTTGGAATGTATTGAAGTATGTCGAAAGGGTGTGAAGCATGCTCAAGTGTGTCGAAGCTCAGTCTAGATGTGTTGAAGCATGTCGGAGGGGTGCGAAGCATGCTCAAGTGTGTCGAAGCTCAGTTGGGATGTGTCAAAGTATGTCAGAAGGGTGCGAAGCATGCCCAAGTGTGTCGGAGCTTAGTTTGAATGTGTTGAAGCATGTCAGAAGGGTGCGAAGCATGCCCAAGTGTGTCGGAGCTTAGTTTGAATGTTGAAGCATGTCGGAAGGGTACAAAGCATGCTCAAGTCGATTGAGCTTCGACACACTTAAGCATGCATCACACCCCTCCGACATGCTTCAACACATCCAGACTGAGCTTCGACACACTTGAGCATGCTTCACACCCTTCCGACATGCTTCAACACATTCAAACTAAGCTCCGACACACTTGGGCATGCTTCGCACCCTTCTGACATACTTTGACACATCCCAACTGAGCTTCGACACACTTGAGCATGCTTCGCACCCCTCCGACATGCTTCAACACATCTAGACTGAGCTTCGACACACTTGAGCATGCTTCACACCCCTCCGACATGCTCCAACACATTCAAACCAAGCTTTGCACCCTTCTGACATGCTTCAACACATCCCAACTAAGCTTCGACACACTTGAGCATGCTTCGCACCCTTCCGACATCCTTTAACACATTCAAACTAAGCTTTGACATACTTGAGCATGCTTCACACCCTTCCGACATCCTTTAACACATCCAGACTAAGCCCCGACACACTTCAGCATGCTTTGCACCCTTCGGACATGCTTCATCACATCCAGACTAAGCTTCAACATAGTTGAGCATGCTTCACACCCTTCCGACATGCTTCAACACATCCCAACTAAGCTTCGACACACTTGAGCATGCTTCGCACCCTTCCGACATGCTTCAACACATCCAGACTGAGCTTCGACACACTTGAGCATGCTTCACACCCCTCCGACATCCTTCAACACATCCAAACTAAGCTTCGACACACTTGAGCATGCTTCACACCCCTCCGACATCCTTCAACACATCCAAACTAAGCTTCGACACACTTGAGCATGCTTCACACCCCTCCGACATCCTTCAACACATCCAAACTAAGCTTCCACACACTTGAGCATGCTTCGCACCCTTCCAACATACTTCAATACATTCCAACTAAGCTTTGACACACTTGAGCATGCTTCGCACCCTTCCGACATGCTTCAACACATCTAGACTGAGCTTCGACACACTTGAGCATGCTTCACACCCCTCCGACATGCTTCAACACATCTAGACTGAGCTTCGACACACTTGAGCATGCTTCACACCCTTCGGACATGCTTCATCACATCCAGACTAAGCTTCAACATAGTTGAGCATGCTTCACACCCTTCTGACATGCTTCAACACATCCAGACTGAGCTTCGACACACTTGAGCATGCTTCACACCCTTCGGACATGCTTCATCACATCCAGACTAAGCTTCAACATAGTTGAGCATGCTTCACACCCTTCTGACATGCTTCAACACATCCAGACTGAGCTTCGACACACTTGAGCATGCTTCACACCCTTCGGACATGCTTCATCACATCCAGACTAAGCTTCAACATAGTTGAGCATGCTTCACACCCTTCTGACATGCTTCAACACATCCAAACTAAGCTTCGACACACTTGAGCATGCTTCACACCCTTCCGACATGCTCCAACACATTCAAACCAAGCTTTGCACCCTTCTGACATGCTTCAACACATCCCAACTAAGCTTCGACACACTTGAGCATGCTTCGCACCCTTCCGACATCCTTTAACACATTCAAACTAAGCTTTGACATACTTGAGCATGCTTCACACCCTTCCGACATCCTTTAACACATCCAGACTAAGCCTCGACACACTTCAGCATGCTTTGCACCCTTCGGACATGCTTCATCACATCCAGACTAAGCTTCAACATAGTTGAGCATGCTTCACACCCTTCCGACATGCTTCAACACATCCCAACTAAGCTTCGACACACTTGAGCATGCTTTGCACCCTTCCAACATCCTTTAACACATCCAGACTAAGCTTTGACATACTTGAGCATGCTTCACACCCCCTCCGACATCCTTCAACACATCCAGACTGAGCTTCGACACACTTGAGCATGCTTCGCACCCCTCCGACATGCTTCAACACATCTGACATGCTTTGAAACATCCAAACTAAGCTTTGACACATTTGAGCATGCTTCATGCTCAAGTCCTAAGCTTTGACAAACTTGAGCATGCTTTGCATCCTTCTGACATGCTTCAACACATTCAAACTAAGCTCCGACACACTTGAGCATGCTTCGCACCCTTCCGCAATGCTTCAACACATCCAAACTGAGCTTCGACACACTTGAGCATGCTTCACACCCCTCCGACATCCTTCAACACATCCAAACTAAGCTTCGACAACTTGAGCATGCTTCACACCCCTCCGACATCCTTCAACACATCCAAACTAAGCTTCGACACACTTGAGCATGCCTTCACACCCTCCGACATCCTTCAACACATCCAGACTGAGCTTCGACACACTTGAGCATGCTTCACACACCCTCCGACATCCCTTCAACACATCCAACTAGCTTCGACACACTTGAGTATGCTTCACACCCCTCCGACATCCTTCAACACATCCAAACTAAGCTTCGACACACTTGAGTATGCT